TATATATTAACATTTAAAATATGTTTATTAATACTTAAAAATATTTTGCCCTCTATATTTCAAATTCAATCCAAGAAAATACATTCACATATGTCGCATGCCCCTGAAATACATTTGAGTATATTTTGAAATATATTTGAGTATTTGAGGGTTGAAAGTAAATATATTTCAAAACTAAAGTTCATTGAGCTTCACCGTTTACAACATATATTTAGCATAAATGTACAACATATTCAGTGTTGGGGAAAGTTACTTTTAAAAGTAATGCACTACAATATTGCGTTACTCCATAAAAAAGTAACTAATTACGTTACTTAGTTACTTTTTAAATCTGGACAGGGCTTGCTTGTTTGCTTTTAAAATAAAAAAGTTCTATTTTTGGCAAATATAAAAGCCTTTTCACACCAAATGTGAAATGAATAAGCCTCAGGCTGAAGGGAAAGTACATTTACGTGCGTACAGTAGAATGCAGAAGAAGACATTTCAACACACTTCAGCAATAAAAAAGACACAAATGTTTGTCTAGAGTAATTTGTGCTTATTAGTACGGTTGAACTGGATCATCGAAGGTCAGAAGCAAAGACATTGGTTAATAGAATGGGATTAAATACATAAAGCATATTTGTGTTGTTTAACACTTATTGTTTAACACTTATACATTATTGCAGGTTTGCATCATATTCTGAGTGCATTATTTTTATTCATTTTGAGGAATACTGAATCGTTTTGTTGTTGTTTTTCCCGTGAGTGAGATGAATTAATGCATATTCATATTTATTTTAGAACTACAGTAACATCTGATTTCTCTCAACATGGGCACAGGAGAGCTGACAGTCAATAAATTGAAAAAAAATTTAACTTGCGTTACTTATTTCAAAAAGTAACTCAGATATTCTTTTGTAAATTAAAAAGTAGTGCGTTACTTTACTAGTTACTTGAAAAAAGTAATCTGATTACGTAACTTGCATTACTTGTAATGCATTACCCCCAACACTGAACATATTTTGGCCAGAAGAAAAAAAAAAGCATATGGAATAAAGACCAACTGACTTATTAATAAATTGCTCATTATGTAGTCTATAAACACTGAACAAAACTGGTATTATGGTATTCAAAAGCAATACACAATTCTGTTGATCTGAACAGGCTAATGCTCAGGTTAACTACTGATAATAACTATTTGATCCGATTAAGCAATGCAGTTATTTACTGCTCTTTAAGTGACACAGCCTTGACCTGCAGTGAAACAGCACTTAGAGTTCTTCAGACAGTGACCATACTGTTAGTCACTGCAGTACACACCAGTGGCACTAGAGAGGACGTTTCTGTCCTAACAAAAAGTAAACAAAACTTGGCCCATGACCTGACAGGCCTCTTCTAGACCATCCAATAGAAATCAAACTCGGTACAAAACACGAGGGCGAGATTAACCTTACATAATATTTATTTGTCTTGCGTTCACAGTGTGATGTAATATACTTGGACATTTAAACTTCATTATTTCTCTACATAAGGCTGTAATGTGGAAAACGCGTGCTTCTGCTTGGGCATCTGTGCTGAGAGAACTGCCATCTCAAAAGCCGTCTCAGAGGGCTACAGGGATTTCAAAGCCATTGCTATTGCAAGGTAAATTTCTACTGCATTCAACAGGCCCTCTAGTGCTTGAATAACATTTCTAACTAACTCCATATTTGGAAATAGACTCTCTAAGTATAATACAGCATCAATAAGTGTCTTCTGCTCTTTTAGTGATATGTGTGAGCACTTCGTTTCCCCCTGTGGTGGCTGCAGACAATTCATGAGAGAGGCAAGTTTCATTTACCACAGTATTTAACATCAATGAAGCAAGCAGCATACTCAGGTTTCATTAAACATGTTATTTTGGTTTTCACCTAAACAGTTCGGTGCAAACTGGGACGTGTATTTGTCCAAACCTGATGGTTCCTACGTGGAGATGACTGTTGAGGAGCTGCTGCCTGCGTCTTTCGGTCCAGAGGATTTAAAAATGAAGAAAGTGAATATTCGGAACGAGTTTTAAATCGCCACTTTACACAATGGACTCTTTGTACCTGATAGTTCTGCTGTGTTGACAGAAAAACAGTTCCTTTTCATGGGAACGAGACACTGCGTCCTCTAGGTTTCCCCATAGCGACCCCTAGAGGACGCAGTGTCTCGTTCCCTACTCAGGGAACCATGGTTACATAAGTAACCTGAGACGTTCCCTTTCATGGGAACTTCGAACTGCGTCCTCTAGGGGTCGCTATGGGAAAACCTAGAGGACGCAGTGTCTCGTTCCCTACTTAGGGAACCATGGTTACATAAGTAACCTGAGACGTTTATGTGGATTAACGGTGTTTAATAATGTGGTAATGTGTACAATGTGTTACTGTAAGGGAATGTGGTATGAAAATGTGTAAATTGCTAAAAAAACATATTTTGAATAAATACAGTCAATACAATTATATAAGTGAACATGTTGCTACAGTACAAACTTTATTATTATTTTTAAACAATGCACACTTTAATAATGTGGTAATGTGTACAATGTGTTACTGTAAGGGAATGTGGTATGAAAATGTGTAAATTGCTAAAAAACATATTTTGAATAAATACAGTCAATACAATTATATAAGTGAACATGTTGCTACAGTACAAACTTTATTATTATTTTTAAACAATGCACATGATCTATAAATCAACCACAAAAAGTGCAACATAAAAATAACATCATTTTCTTAAAAGAAAATGGCAACTGATGATCTAGACACATTTTTAAATTCTTTAACCTCAAGTGGTAGTGATAATTCAGATGCAGTAAGAACCTCTATTTTAATATTGAATTAATGAATGAACGAATCCTAAGCAAGTCATCAAAGTGCAAAACATGAAACAAATGACATTAAAGAAATGATGAGCTTGAAGGAAAGGCAGCACATACACAACTGGCAATAACATCTAATATCTTCTCAAGTTGTCAAAACGTGATTTTTCATGCAGCACGGTTTAATAAATTTGTAGTTGGGAGATTTTGCATAAGGAGAGTAGATTGACTAAACCTTTTCCGTGCACACACACTTTTTTCTTATTCCGATTATCCACATAGTGACTCTGACTGGAAAAAAAGGCAGAATGGCAATCTTAATACGAGCTGCTTCTGAAACCTGGGCCGTTTCTTGAATTCACAGGACCCTGGATGAAATTATAAGGATGGGCCGTAGCCGCCACATACCCAGCAGCGTAAAGACACATTTAGCCCTGTTGGAAGCTACAGAGTGGCTTTATATGGGTATTGGCATCCATACAGTAATGAAACAACCATACTAACAAAAAGACAGTGTACGTTACAGATGGAAAGGAGTTTTGCGCCTAAAGCAGCCGACGAGCACATGGTGCTCTAAATAAAGAAACCCTCTACTCATCACCAGTGCGTTTTACAGAATAACTTAATATCTTTTAAAGTAACCAAGTAATTTGGATCACAAAGATGTTGAGAATTCAACACCTTTCACGTCACTACAGCACACCTCCTGCAATGGGCCTGAGGTCAAACGAGTCTTATTTCTGCGGCGTTATGGTGTCCAGACCGGGCCAGGCCGGAATGTAGTGCCTTGGTAGAGTTCCCTCCATAAGCCTCTCCATCCACAGACCCAGTCGGTCTAGTTTGTGGTGGATCTCCAGAGTGGTGGCCTTCTGTCGGGAACTTGACCGGGACCTCGAGGCTTTGCTTGGTCCGGCCGTCGCCGCATCCTCGTCGGACCACCTACTACATTCGGCTTCCTCCCCTGTGAAGACGGGTCTGAATAAGCAGAAATACTTCTTGTGGCCGTTGAGCGCCAGGACGTGGCCAGTGTAGTCTGATTTGTTGGAGGTGGAGTCCTCCTCTTCTTCCTCTTTGTCCAAGCGGTCTGACGGCCTGGCGTCGGGAGCCGACTCCATGAGGGAATCCATCCATTGGCTGTGCTTGTCCACATTTAAAAAGGAGTAGTGAAGAGTCTGAGACCTGCGGGAGGAAGTAAGGATAGTTTCCTTTGGGTTTGTTTGTTGCAAGATATAAGCTGAAAGCAAAGGGTGTTCAATGCAGCTTCTGGAGATCTACTTTCTTTCAGTATTTATTTCCATGTAATGTAATGCTACTTGGAAATAGGAACAAATGGACATTCGACTTCATATATAATTGACGTTCCACTGTTTTTTCCCCCATGTGGAGGTGAGAGAATTCCTGATAGGTGAGTTGTCTGGAAAGCATCATGACTGGAAATCAGAATTCTGCAACTTCTAACTTGTAAATGACCTCTTGAATGCTACTCAAGTTCAGACATCTGACCCCTAAAGTGAGACGCGTCATTTAACATTATTTTCAAATAATGTTCCATTGGTTGTTCCAAGTGGAAGTGGAAGAATTCTGGGTTGAGTTGGTCGGAATGCAGCATGACTAGAACCTTTTTATGTTGGAAGTGGGAAATTTCAATTGAAAAAAAAAATGTAGATTTTGTCTGGAATGCATAAATACATAACTAGGGTTTATGGTTGAGGTCTGCAATCAATATTGTGAGATCGGTTTTGAACAGTTTTGAATTGAAGATATCGATGTGTGCCAAAAAAGAACTGACTAGCTGGATTCCTGCAAAATATAAGTATCTAAAAATAAAATATGAAGTTGCTCAAATTTATTTTAGGTTTTTAAGGTACAGAATGTTGTTTGTCTATTCAGCAACAAATATAAACCGTTTACAGGTGATTGTGCATTCCAAGGACTTAGGGTTTACAAAAGTAACATACCTTTTAATTGTGCACATGTTGACCAATTAGAAGTTTGGAATAATGGGTCCCATGTGCTTTTCTGAAATCCAAATGATTTCAAATGAACCCATGCTGCATTTCCTGAAAGCCCAAGTAGATCGCAGAAACCATTGGTGCCAGTGTTCTCTAGGATCTACTGAGGTTCACAATGTTTTTGAGAAACGCAGCTGTCGCCGATCTGGAATATGTCTACATATTATCTTTGACTTTGGTTCAGTTGTCTAAAGCTTAATGGAAGATGCTGAATGCTGGCATTGTTTTGCATGTGTGCTAAGCATCAAGTGGCCTTCTAAGTTGGGAAGTTGAACGGATGACCGCCTAAACTCTGTAAGAAGGTTGATCTCCAGAAACAGGTTTTAGCATTTTCTCAAAGCTCACACAGGCCTCACCCCGAGAACGAATACACTTCTTTGGCAAACTTCCTGAGCAGTACTTGCTTAGAAGCATCAGTAAGGATCAGCACAACGTTGATGTGACCAGGCTTTAACCTGACTAGGTTACTCGTGTAGGTGATGTCCGTGAGCTCTGTCACCTCCACAAAATTCTTCTTAGGTGGACGACTGTAACAGGAAAACCAACTCTTAGCGATTCAGCTAATGAACATCTGAACATATCCGTGATCTCAAAATCTCTATTTGACTTGCTGTTGTTATAGTTTATTATCAAGCAAGCAGTGCCTCACCTTGAACTACTCTCTTGTTCTGGAGAGCTCTCTGCTGTCTTTGGTGACCCAGTGGCCTTTTGTTTGGCTGGTTTGTCTTCCCCAGCGTCACTGTTCGATCAATCAATCAATCAAGAACTCTCCTTACAAAGACAGTTATATACCATATATACAATATCTATATCTACACACACACACACACACACACACTCAGGTTTGTTTTTGTGAAAAGTGGGGACATCCCATAGGCGTAATGGTTTTTATACTGTACAGACCGTATATTCTATTGCCCTACACCAACCCTACCCCAAAACCTACCCCTCACAGGAAACTTTGTGCTATTTCAGATTTTCAATACACTCCATTCTGTGTGATTTATAAGCGTTTTGAAAAGTGGGGACATGGGGTAATGTCCTGAACCGTCCCCTTCTCCTTGTAATACCTGTCATACCTTTGTCATTATACAAATGTATGTCCTCATTTGTCACAAAAACGCGCACACACACACACACCTCTGTCCTACCTGAAGGCCTGAATGATTACAGTCCCAAACAGGATGAAAAGAGCTGAGAAGATAAGAGACAGTACGGGCATCATCTCACGCCTGGGGGGGGGGGAGCAGAACATGACAAGTTTCTCATTTATAAAAAAAATGTAGAGCTGCTAATTGGTAAATTCAATAAAAAAAGAATGCTGAAAATAGTCATCAACTATTATCATTATCATTTAGTCTGTTATTATTTGTTGTCATTAGACATTTAAAAACATTTTTGCACACAATGTACAGCTTTTACACTGTTTTCAGTCTATCTTATAGTCTTTATAGTCCATTGCAGATATTTTAACATTATACTATGGAGCTGTTGAATGCTTGAATCTGATTGGCTGACGAACGTTCTAAGATGTGCAATTACTTTCAGGGAAACGCGGCTAAAGTAGTTCCAGGTAGGTCTTGATCGCATGTTCATATCACTTCGCCAAATGATTTCAGTCATTTCAAAGGTCTTAAAACATCTTAAAACAGCAAAATAACCAAAACCCACGACACTGACCAAGCAAATAAATATAGTAAACAATTGGATTAAAACAACAAATTATTTTCATGCTTTTTCCACAAAATTAAGTTTAATTATGTACGGAAAGCACATACTTTCTTTCTCCCACTCAAACACACAGACATCATTAGAGTAAAGACACACGTGCACAGAAATTTCATTCATACTGTATGTCCTGAAAATCAAGTGATGCTTATGTTGCTTTAATTTCTGATTGATCACAACGGACCACAGATGTCCTGCTTCCACTGACATAGATTCTTGAACCGTTCTGCGCGTTTCCACAGCATAAAAGTGGGTCCTGTGCCAGATCGGTTCAACACTGGAGCCGGTTTGTTTTAGACTGGCTACAGTCAGGTAAACAACACAAAGCAATGTTCATTTCTCAAATCTGTGGGAAAACGTGGCTGGTTTGCAACAGGATCCAGTTCGCCTGGTCGAGCACTGGGCAAGATTGTGCTCTGGCTCCAGAACGCAAACCATTGAAACTGCATGCAGACAGCACCAGGAATACTTTTTGATTGCACTCACCAATTAGAGTAGAGAAGATCAAAGTAAAACTGAGCGAGGTAATCATATGCA